GGAAGAAAATACAATTCAGGATATCGTCAAAATAATTATCAGCAACAAAATAATCAGCAAAATCGATCTCCACAAAATAATCAATCAGGATCCATTATATGCTTTGATTGTGAACAGCTTGGACATATTAGACGAAGTTGCTTAACAATAATAGTAAATGATTTAAATAACTCAAATAATAACGTAGCTATTAATAATCCACCAGTGCAAAATAACTTAAATCCAGTAAATACGGTTGTAACTAATGTAGCTAATAATATTCCTGTAAATAATAATGTCAACAAAATAATAATACAATAAATGTTCACCAAGCTATGCAATTATTAATTCAGTTGTTGAAACAGGAAAACAACAATGATCAAAACCAGTATTTAAACTAAATAGTGTACCTCTCAAGGGTGAAGGTACAAAACTGTTTGAAAGTCTCTCAAATCTTCCTATTTTTAAAATCTATGCCAATAAGAGAAGTCGAGCTGATGATAATGAGGAAGATTTAATTAGAGAAATAGAACGAAAACAAAAAGATTTAGCAAAAAAAGAGCTTAACAAAAACCAAAAGTAAAGAAGAAACCCTAGCACAACCACTTATTGTTAACATGAAAAATCCTTATACTGCACAGGACCTTTTTGATCAACTTGTCAACATCTCTATTGGACAATTACTTGCTACTAATTCTAAGTTTACTCAAAGAATAATGAGATCATTAAGAAAGCTAATTACTCGTAAATCCAATAAAGGGAAAGGACCAGCTACTTAGAAAAATAATAATCAAGGAGAAAATATAACTGCAGAACCTTCAGGAGCTAAACCTATAGATTTGGAAGCTGAAAAAGTAGTTAAAGAAAATGATGAATTACTTGCATCTCAAGAAATACATAATGTTACAAATCTAAAGTCAACTGCTTTGTATTGCCAAGCAACAATTAATAACAAGGAGTTTGCTTTGATAGTTAACTCTAGTTCTTCAGAATGCATTATTTCCTTATAATTCTTGAGAAGACTAGAAAGAGAAGTTGATAAAGCATCTGGAACGGTAATGGTAAATGTCAATGGTGAATGTCAAAAGCCTGTTGATATAGTACTTGACTTACTTTTACGAATAATGGGACAGATTATTTCTTTTGACGTGATTATAATTGAATCAAATACTTATAATGCAATAGTTGGAAATGACTGGCTAGAAAAGACTTATGCTAAAATAAGCTATAGAAGTAAACTTATGACGATTCACTGGAAAGGAAAAGAAATACATGTTCTAGTTAAATACAGAACTTTACCATGATAAAATATTGAGAAGACAAGGAAAGACAATGAGGAGTCTGAAGTGAATGAAATTGATGATGAATATGAAACAAAAGAAGAGGAACAGGATAAGTTATTTTATTACTTTGAAGAAATTTCAGAAGAAGAATCAAGCTTAATTTATGCTAAATTAAAAAGAAATACAAAGGAAAAGTGATACCTAAAGAATCCTATTACCAATATAAGGAACTTGACAAAAGAAATTATCATACTGGTGAACTTACAAATGAGCAATAGGAAAAGTTTAAAGATTTTATGAAACAATACAAAAATCTTTTCATTTGGAAGGAAAATCAGTTGGAAAAATCTCTGTGATAAAGCATAATATTGACACAGGTGACGTTTCTTTAATCAAGCAAAGGTTTTACAGGATTTCATTTCAAAACCAAGAGTTTATTAAATAGGAAATTCAAAGGCTATTAGGTTCAGGACTAATCCAACCATCAAAAAGTCAATGGACATCTCCAGTAGTTGTTGTAGAAAAGAAAAATGATAAAAAACGTTTATGTGTAAATTACAGAAAGTTGAATAGTGTAACAAAAAAGGATAACTATTCTCTCCTAAGAATCGATAACATGTTGGATACATTAACAGGTTCACAGTGGTTTACATCCTTGGATTTGTCAAGTGGATTCTGGTAAGTAGAGATGGAAGAAAAGGATCAGAAGAAAACAACCTTTATTATAAGATTTGGAACCTTTGAGTTTACAGTTATGCCCTTTGGCTTATGTAACGCTTCTGCAACTTTTCAAAGATTAATGGATACAGTTTTAAGAGATATCTTTTGGCAAAACGTAGTAGTATATGTAGATGATATCAATATCAGATCAAATATTCAATGAACACCTTCTTCATTTGAAACAAGTTTTTTACGTCTGCGACAGTCTGGGTTAAAACTAAATTCAGAAAAATGCTTTTCTTTGAGAAGAAACTCCCTGTTTTAGGATATATAATCAGACGTGAAGGTATACAAACTGATCCTGAAAAGGTTGCTGCAATCAAAGGATTTTCTATTTTAAAGGACTTGATCCAGTTGAGAGGATTTATTGCACTTGCCTCATATTACAGGAAATTTATAAAAGAATTCTCTACTATCGTTAAATCTTTAAATAGACTTCTCAAAAAGAATGTTTCCTATCGCTAGACGATTGATCAACAAAAGGTATTTGAAAACTTAAAGGATTGTTTAACTTCCCCTCTAATCTTAGTATACTCTGATTTTGACAAATCATATATCTTATATACTGATGCTTCTACTTATGCTCTTGGAGTTATTCTGTCTCAAAAAGAAGATGACAAAAAGGAACAAGTAATAGCTTATGCTAGCAGAATCCTTAACAAACATAAATAAATCTATTTGGTTACTGAATTGGATTGTCTTGCTGTAATTTGGTCTATCAAAAACTTTCATCATTATTTACATGAACAAAAATTTGTTGTTATAACTGATCACACTGCTTTAGTATATCTCAAAAATATGAAAAATCCAGTTAGCAAACTTGGACGTTAGCTTATAATTTTAAATGGATATAACATGAAAATACTTAATCACCTAGGAAAATTACACACAAACGTAGATACATTAAGTTGAATACAACACTAAGGACTTATTTATTTTTACAACCAATAGGACAAAACTTAACAGACACCTCTTTTTGATAACAGTTTTTTGATTTTAACAGAAATAATAGACTCAGATACATATTTTGGTTTAATTCAATATTTAATGGAACTTTCTATGCTAACACATTTTGATAATAAACAACAAGCAGCGATGAAACGTAAAACACAATATTTTATTGTAATAAATAGTTAATTATACAAGCGAAATAAACAGGAACCACAATGACTCTTAAAGTAATTCACAAATATGAAGTTAATGACATCCTGTATAATTTACATGAAAACCCTTTAGCAGGACACTTTGCTCTTGAAAAAACCTATATGAAAGTAAAAATTAGATATTACTAGTCCTAAATGTATGAGAACATATGACAATATGTTCAAACATGTGATGCCTATCAGTGACAAGGTAAAAATAAGCAAACAGAATCTCTACATCCCATTAAAGTTAGACAACCCTTTAATTAAATCAGAATAGAAATCGTTGGACCCTTACCAAAAACAAAAAGAGGAAATAAATACATAGTTGTCACAACTGAATACTTAACTAAATGGCCAGAGGCAAGAGCAATACCAGATGCAAAAGCAAAATCAGTTGTTTCTTTCTTTTATAAAGATATCATTTGTAGACATAGTTTCCCAAAGGAATTTCTTACTGATTGAGAAACGCATTTTGTAAATGAAATGTTAAATTCTTTGTACGATGAACTAGAAGTAAAGCACAAACTATCAACTGCGTACCTTCTACAAACAAATGGACTTGTTGAACGTTTTAATTGAACATTATGTGAAACGTTAGCCAAATTTGCAAATAATAATAATGATGACTGGGATACATTTATTCCCTCAGCCCTTTTCATTTATAGGACTAAGCAATATGAGATAACACGATATGAACTTTTTTATTTAATCTATGAAAGAAACATTATATTGCCAATTGAATTTTAGGTGGAAACACAAAATGTTAAATCGTCATTTGATGACGTACAAAATGATTTATTACAGAGAGTACAATGAATAACTAGACAAATGAAGAATGACATCAAGGAGGCACAAAATAGAATACTGGTGATATAGCAAAAATAAAAGGAACACTATGACAAGAATCTGCAATCCAATTACAAATTTGAAGTAGAACAGATAGTACTAAAATATGTAACCAAGATCGAAGGAAAAAAAAATTGGATGATCGTTAGACTGGACTTTATTACATCCATGTAAATTTAGAGAACAGAGTTTATAAACTAAGGACGATGAACAGAAAAAATTTTAAAAGTACCAATTAATGATGCACGGCTGAAACCTTATCACTAACAACTTTTACCTAAACTAATAGTGATAATTGAATGATAAAATTGAATATAAAAAGCCACTGAAAAACCCTCCCTTACAAGTCAATGAAAAATGGATACTTTTGACATCTTCTTAATAAATAATACTCCTTACTAACTCCTTTTGGATGACCTTGAGTAAACTGAACCAGTTAATTTATTACCATATCCTTTACCTTATATTGATGAAATAGACACAAAAGAAAAATTCCATTCTATTACAAGAGCAATAATTAAAGTTAAACGAATTTATAATCGTATTTCTTTTTTGATTAATGCTTTCTACTTAGGCCAATTTTTTGAAACTTTAGAAAATGTGATTACACGAGCAACTTATGTTAAGGAAATAACTTGACATTATTATCTGGCCTCAGTTTGAATTTATTATCTTTATGAAGTACTAAGTATATCCAAAATCGCTAGTTATGAAACTTGATTCTTAATCTAATCTTAAGGGTATCTAAAAGTCAATTTAATGAATTAGTTGATGAAGCCTTAAATATTTTTACGCAGATGCAAAATCTTGAAGGAGAGTGATATTACACTTAAAATTGATATGCAAAAATGATCTATAAGGCTAAAAAGGATAATCAGTTTTGTGTCATATTGAAATGATTTACAGTACTATAACTAAATTAGATAATTAAATGATTTATATGTCTTATTTACTAAATTTGGTAGTCTAATTTTGTTATACAAATAGGTCTTATTACGTCATTCGTTATTAATGACATTTATTTCATTTATTTCATTTTTCTCATTTATTTTATTTTATTCGTTTATATTATTTATTTATTATATTTATTTTATTTATTTTATCTATTTTCTTTATTTTATTTATTTTATCATTATCAGTGAGTATTTTTATATAAATAGGAGTAATCTATCAATGTAAAAAGAATAAGAACCATCTTGTCTTGAATAATTCTTTTGATAAATAAACTGTTTAATACAGATGTACCGATAGAAGCA